GATATGAATGCTTGAGAAAAGCAGCAGGGATAGTAAGAGCAGAAATAAAAATAACTGATAGCTGGGGATTGAGTCACAGCCAAAAGAAACTGTGATAGTTATTCCTCTTTGGGAAATATTTATTTGACATGACAAACTTTTTGGGGATAGCTTTGTGTGTCCTGAGTATCATAAGACGGATATGCGTAATTCAGGGCAGACAGAAAAGAGGTGTTAACAAGCTTGTCAGATGGACAATTACAATTGTGCTATTTGTCTCAGCCGTTCATTCTTACACTACAAACATCAGCGTTAGCCTCTGAGAGACAGGAAGTATTGTAATGCCTTGTTTGTGCACAAAGGGAGTCCTCCTGATTTTTTAATGGCTGTCTGCAAGCTTACATTCATCATCTGTGCATTCCTCCATTCAAAACAATTCCTGTGCCAGTCAGCGTGATTGTGAATGATCATTATCCTGCTGATAAGAATATTCAGGAACTGCAACGTTTCCATAATCCCGTTGTGAATCAGTGATGCCACCAACATAAAAAGCTAGCTCTTTTCTCCAACCTTAACCTACGTTGCCACTGCTCCCGAGCATAAATCACAAAAGACAGAACTTGAAGTGATGTCTAATTGAGCCACTAACATCAGGTGATAGCCCTATGCTTAAATAGAAAGGTAATATATTGTAATAGAGATAGAAATTGCGGGTTAGAAGTGGTCTCATAGTTTCAGTCACACATCGAGGGAGGTGAAGTTGTGTGTGTTTGTGTGATCAGGAGATGGTGAGATAGAACTTTCCTACATTTATAGTTCAATCTTTTCATCTTCTTCTTCTTATTATTTTTTTTTTATGAGATGGAGCCTTGCTCTGTCGCCAGTCTTGACTGCAGTGGTGTAATCTTGGCTCACTGCCACCTCCACCTCCTGGGTTCAAGCGATTTTCCTGCCTCAGCCTCCAAAGTAGCTGGGACTAAAGGTGAATGCCACGATGCTCAACTAATTTTTTTGTATTTTTAGTAGAGACGAGGTTCCACCGTGTTAGCCAGGATGGTCTCGATCTCCTGACCTCGTGACCTGCCCACCCTGGCCTCTCAAAGTGCTGAGATTAGAGGCGGGAACCACCACAGGCACCCCCTTTCATCTTATTTTGAAGAAACTGAGGACCAGCAAAACTGGACAGCTTCTCAAACTTGCTCAGTGTGTTAGCATTTGAAACAGACACGTTCGAATGAATAGTCACATTTTTAGCAATTTCCATATCCTTTATAATTATCCCCCCAAAATTAGGCATATATTTTCTCATGGTGGATAAGCAGTTTAAACTCCTGCCTAATGCTTATTCCATTTATTCTGGAATAACCAGTGGTCCCATGTCACTGTGTCAGAAAACCATGATCCAGCAGTGTATCAATGATCTAAATCATTCATAAGATTCCTGGTCTCTAAGACTTTCCTGTTCTATTTCCTCACTCTTAAAACACTTCCCCTGTCCCATGCACTGCTCTGATTGCCAAAGGGCTACTCATTCACCCAGGTTCAGCTCAAGTCTAGTCTTTCCATGAAGTTAACCTTCTGCACACCCATGCAAAGATGCAAAGTTGTTTGTACCTTTTTTTTTTTTTTAACAAAGAGCCTTACTCCGTCGCCCAGGCTTGAGTGCAGTCGCAGGATCTCCAGTCATTGTTACCTCCGCCGCCCAGGTTGAAGCGATTCTCCTGCCTCAGCCTCCCAAGTAGCTGAGATTAGAAGGCCCACCACCACCACGCCCGGCTAATTTTTGTATTTTTAGTAAAAACAGGGTTTCACCATCTTGGCCAATCTTGTCTTAAACTCCTGACCGCAGATGATCTGCCCACCTCGGCCTCCCAAAGTGCTGAGATTACAGGTGCGAGCCACCGTGACCGGCCTTGTTTGTACCTCTTTACAGTGTTATGCCACTCTCTCAATTGTCATTCATTTTTATTTCCCATTAGAAGCAGCTCCACAAATGCAGACATCCTGTCTGATTTATTCCTGGGCTTCCTAACAACCAGCATAGGAGCCTTCCTTTCAGCTCAGGTAAACTGAAAGAAATAAAGAGCAGTATATAGTAAATTGATGATAGAAAGGTGCCCTCATTGTTAGCTGCTCCTGCTTTACCAAGTAAATGGTAAACTCTTTGCGGGTAAAAGGTCTTTGCTTATAACCATCTCATTGTTTTTGATAGTTCTAGCACAGACTTGTAGGCTCCACAATCTATTATTGACTTATCCAAGAAAATGAAAAGGGAAGTTAGGAGGCTGAGGGAGTCTATTAACTTCAGGGAGAGGAACTGACTTCTGGAAACAAGAGTTTCACTTGGGCTTTCTGCCTCTGGCCTCCTTACTTTTTTGTCATAGGTCTAACCACATTCAGGTACATTTCCTTTTGGTAAAATATTTTACCCTTTCTCCTCATTTTTTTGAAAACCTCATCCTTATAACTTACCTTTCTGCTTGCTTTCACTTTAGTTCTGAATTTTTGGAAGGAACTGAATCAAGAAGTCTTAAAGTGAACTTGTTTGAGGTCTCAAAGCAATTATAAATAAATTAATTAAATAATTAAGACGTTCTAAAAGTTTTCTGCGGGTCCTTTGTCTCACTCTGATTCCTGGAAATTTAAGTTTCTATTATTCTGAGCAGGGATGAATGAGATGAGAGCAGGAAGGGTTTTTAAATAGGATGTGAGTGAAGGTATATTAGGTATGAGGAAATAGATAAAGTGAGAATATCTGTGCTGGCAAGAATGTCGAAATAAGGTGAAACCTTGTTCTGGATAGACAGGTATGTGAAACTCAGGGTCAAAAGTTGCTCCTTGGTTCAACATCTGACAAGCTCTGTGATCACAGGCAAGGCCTTTAGCTGTCTTTGTATTTAAAAGAGAATTTTGGCTATATCTCAGTTAGGCCTATGCCATTATACTGTATGATACTCTAACTCTATTTAGAAGAAAGCATGATGAGTGAAATCAATTAGTGAAGGAGATGGATTAGACAGATTGCTAAGAGAAAGGGTAGTTGCAAACATAGAAGGAAAGGCTAAGAAAGATCTATAAGAGTGGAGAAAAAATAATTTAAAAGAAAATACTTTTAGGATAATGTGTTTAGCCTTATCTTTACTGGAAAACAAAAGATACATATCAGTCAACACAAAGTGCATAACTAAAGGGAAATGAGAAACAAGTCATTGGAAACTGGAGTAAAGGCCATCCTTGTTACACAGTTGCCAAGAACTTGGTGGAAGTATATCTACGTCTTAGGACTTTATGGGAAGCAGAAATTAAGAGCAATAATTTAGGATATTTGGTGGAAGAAGTATCTAAGCAGCAAAGCATTCAGGCTGCTGTGTGGCTACTTTTAACTGCATACAGTAAGAGGCAAGAGGGGAAAAAACTACTTAAAAATGGTGTTTATCATTAAAAGAGAAGCAGAATAGAAAGATTTGGAAAATTCACAGCCTAGCTGTATAAAACAGGAAAAGACATGTTTGTGAGAAACTACTAAGGGTATGGCCTAGAGACCATTGTTAAAGAGATTAATATGGCTAGAAGGTAGTGGAATACTATTCAGGATATTGAGAAAAAGGCCCTGAAGGTATTTCAAAGATTTTTGAAGCTGCCCCTTTCATCACAGGCTCAGAGCTCAGAGGGCAAATTGGTTTTAGGGGAAACTGGAGTGCCCTTTACAGACTTGCTGCCCAGATCTGCCTCAGGTTTTTGCTCTCTGAAATCCAGCACAGTGCTCCTTGGCTGCTCCAGCCATGGCTCAAGAGAGCCCAGGTGCAGTTCAACCCACTACTCCATAATGTGCAGTTGGTAAGACTTGGTGGCACTCGCTTGATAAGTGTGCAGGCTAGCAGAATGCAAGAGGTGTGGGCCACAACTACCTCTGTGTTCAAAAGATGTAGTGGGCAGCCTGAGGGCCCAGGAATTCCGCTCCCATGGCAATGCCTAGTGGAGCCATGGCAGTGGACTGCCACTGAGACCCCAGAAATGTAGAGCTACTAGCCTGAAGCATTAGCCTGGGAGAGCTGCAGGGATGAGTCTCCAACTTGTGAGAGCTGAAGCATCAACTAAGCCTGGCAAAGCCATTTTATTTCTCTGTTGGGTTTTGGACTTACTTGGAACCTGTTACTTTCTCATTGTTGCCTATTTCTCCCTTTTGGAATGGGAATATCTGTCTTATATCTGTCCTGCCAATGTATTTTGGAAGTAGATCACTAGTTTTGATTTCACAGGATCATAGTTGGAGGGAATCTGCCTCACAGTGAATCATGCCTTGAATCTCACCCATATCTAATTTAGATAAGACTGAATTTGGGGCTTTTGAGTTGATGCTGGAACAAATTAAAACTTTTGAGGCTATTGAGATAAAATGAATGTACTCTGTATGTGAAAAGAACATGAGTTTTGGGGGATCAGGGACAGAATTTTATGGTTTGAATGTCCCCTCCAAAATTCGTGTTGAAATTTTATTGCCATTGTAGCAGTATTATGAGATGAGTAGGTTATAAATGTACTAATGCCCTTATTGTAGGAATGGATTAGTTATCATGGGAGTGGGCTACTGATAAAAGGATGAATTTTGGCCCCCATTTTTCTCTGTCTTGTGTGCTCCCTTCCACCTTCTGCTTTCTGCCATGAGATAATGCAGCACAAAGGCCTTTGCTAGATGCTGGCACCATGCTCTTGGACTTCCCAGCCTACAGAGCTATGAGCCAAATGAAACTTCTGTGGTTCACAAATTATCCAATCTCAGTTATTCTGTTATAGCAGCAGAAAACAGACTGAGACAGAGGATTAAATGATTTATTTCATTTTTAAACACATACTTACTATGTGCCTGCTATGTATGAGACACTCTGCCAGTGAGGCTTCATTATTAGGAATTTGGAGTGTTTTTGAAAATTACCATATAATGTTTGAGCACTATTGAAGTCACATATATATGGTCCCTCCAGAAGAACATATTTGATTTTAGTTTTTTTTTAATCTTTTAGGGACAGAATCATGTGATGTACAGCTTTACATAAAGAGACAATCTGCATACTCGGTCTTAGCAGGAAAACCCTTTAACCTGCAATGCCCTGTGAAATACTGTGCTCACAGGCCTCATGTGACTTGGTGCAAGCTCAATGGAACAAAATGTTTACCACTTGAAGATGGACTTCAGCGACACACAAGTTGGAAAGAAGAGAAGAACATTTCATATTTTATTTTACATTTTGAACAAGTGCTTCCTAGTGACAGTGGGTCATACCGCTGTTCTGCACATTTTTCATTTCATCTCATTGAAAGCCACTCAACAACTCTTTCTGTGAGAGGTGAGTTCTCAATACCTCAATTGTCTAATATTTTTCTCATAATCGTCTAATATTTTTCTCATAATGTTTCCAGGAAGAGAGGGATTCAGTTTCTCAAGTGATTATGTTAGAAAGTAAACTCCTATACACATCCAAAGTTTGCTACACCTTACAGATTGTTATGTGCCAGTGTGTACATATGTGTGTATGTATGTGTTTGAGATGAGTGAGATAAAGCAAGGATCCATGTCTTGCTCCTGATCTTAGAAAGAAAGAGAAAGAGAGTAGAGAAAAATATAGATCTTAGAGAGAAAGAGAGGAGAGTAGAGAAAAATATAATAGAAGTTATTGTTTTTCACTTTAGGGATTATAAAATTTATTTGGTAAGTCCAAAAGCAGATCAATGAAATATTGAAAAAATTATGAAGTGAATACCTTTAGTTGCAAATAGCTCTGTGATTCTTTGTCCTTGCTTTTTTTCTTTTTTCCCCAATTTTCTCTTCTTTACTTTTGTTCATCACAATTTCTTGAAGTTATGTTTGTGGTATTTAGACAATGACACACTTTTTAATAGTTCACAGTTTGTTTAGAAGAAAAACAGCAAACAAATAACCTGACTCCCTGATGATTTTCTGGGAATATTCATAGCTTCATTTCTCTACCCTGTTCCCCCACAGAAGCTTTTAATAGGCTTTCAGAACTGAGGAAGGACAGATAGAAGTTAAGCTTGTGTAAACCAAGCTGAATAAAACATGACAAAATACATAAAGGGGAGTAGGTGAGAGTAAAAAGTAATTTGGTTTATAAAAATTGTATAGCTAACATCATATTCAATGGTGAAAGGCTTAGAGCTTTCTCTCTAAGATCAGGAACAAGACATGGATCCTTGCTTTTGCCATTTCCATTTAACATTAAACTGAAAGTTCTAGCCAGAGAAAATACACAAGAAGAAGAAGTAAAAAGTATCTAACTTAGAAAGGAAGAAGTAAAACTTTATTCACAGACGGCATGAACCTATGTGTAGAAAAATTCTTTAAAATTTATTTAAAACTATAAAGCTAATACATGAATTTAGCAGTTTCACATGATATAGGATTAATAGATAAAAATCAATGATATTTCTGTACACTAGCAATAAACAACCCACAAAAAAATTAAGGAAACAGTTCCATTTATAATAGCATCAAAAAGAATAAAATATTTTAGAATAAATTTCACCAAGAAGGTGCAAAACTTGTACACTGAACAAAGAAAGCATGGCTGAAAGAAATTCAAGAATATGTAAATAGATGCAAAGACATTCTGTATTCATGGACTGAAAGATGTAATATTGTAAAGATAGCAGTATTCCTCAAGGTGATCTACAGATTCAATGCAGTTCCACCAAAATCCCAACAGCTTTTTGTTGCTATTGCAGAAATATAAATGATTCTAAAATTTACATTGAGTTGCAACAGACCCATAATTGCCAAAAAATCTTGAAAAAGAACAAAATTGAAGCTAAGACTTGCCTATTCCAAAACTTACTACAAAAGTATAGTTAAAACACACACACACACACACACACACACACACACAGACACACACACACAGACAGTATTACTGTCATATGGATAGACAAAGAGACCAATGTAAATAGAATTGAAAGTCCAGAATAAACTCCACACATCTGTGGTCAACTGATTTTTGACAAGGATGCCAAGATTATTCAGTGGCAAAGAATAGTCTCAATAAATGTGCCAGGATAATTGGATATTCATATATAAACAATGAATTTGATCCCTATCTCACACCATATTTTAAGAAATCAAAATAAATCAGAAATTTAAGTACAAGAGCTAAAACTATAAAAACTACTGTATATAAAACAATAAAACCCTGGTTTCTTAGGAGAAAACATAGGGATAAATGTTTCTAATCTTGGATTTAGCAGTGATTTCTTAGATATGATTACAAGACCATAATCAACAATAACACCAAAATAGTTAAATTGGACTTCATAAAAATTAAACACTTTAGTGCATCAAAAAAATAAAATAAAATAAAATAAACACTATCAATTCAACAGCAGACTGGCAACCTAATTTTAAAATGAGCAAAGGACTTGAATAGACATTTCATCAAAGAGAGTAAACAAATGGCCAATAAGCATATGAAGGGAAATGCACAATACCATTAGTTACTAGAGAAATGCAAATCAAAAGCACAAGGAAAACCCACTTCTTACCTCTAGAATGACTAGAATAAAAGAAACATGGACAATAAGAAGTGTTAGCAAGGATGTGGAGAAATCAAAACCCTATCCATTGCTGATAAGAATGTAAAATGATGCAGCTACTTTGGAAAATGGTCTAGCAGTTCCTCAAAAGGTTAAACCTGGTTGCCACAGTACCAAGTAATTCTATTCCTAGGTAAATACTCAAATGAAATTAAAATATAAGTTCACATAAAACTTTGTTCATGAATGTTTATCACAGAACTATTCACAGTAGCCAAATTGTGGAAACAAGCTAAATGTTCAACTGATGAATGGAAAAAGGAAATGTAGGTTATCTGCACATGGAATATTATTTAGTCATGAAAAGGAATGAAGGGCAGCGCGGAACCCTGGGCCTGGCTGTGGCCCCGGAGCGGTGCTGGCAGTCCCGGAGGCCCGAGCGCAGCAGGGGATCCGGGCGTCGGCGAGGCCTGAGCTGGGCGGGCCCGGGACACAGGCGGCTGGCCAAAGCTGTGGCTGGAGCCAAAGGCGGGCGATGGACACAGCGGGGGACTTGAGTGCCTGGAGACGATGCCAAAGCTGCAGGACTTTGAGTTCTGGAGTCACACCCTTCCGGGGGCCCGCCACGTGGTGGCCCCCATGGTGGACCAGAGTGAGCTGGCCTGAAGGCTGCTGAGCCGGCGCCAAGGGGCACAGCTCTGCTACACGCCCATGCTACACGCCCAAGTCTTTGTCCGTGACGCCAGCTACCGGAAGGAGAACCTGTACTGCGAGGTGTGCCTCGAGGACCAGCCCCTCATCGTGCAGTTCTGTGCCAATGACCCGGAGGTGTTTGTTCAGGTGGCTCTCCTGGTTCAGGGTTACTGTGACGCCATCGACATGAACCCGGGCTGCCCACAGATGATAGCCAAGAGAGGTCACTATGGCGCCTTCCTGCAGGATGAGTGGGACCTGCTCCAAAGAATGATTTTGCTGGCCCACGAGAAACTCTCTGTTCCCGTCACGTGCAAAATCCTTGTCTTCCCAGAGATTGACAAGACTGTGAGGTATGCCCAGATGCTGGAGAAGGCCGGCTGCCAGTTGCTGATCGTTCATGGGTGCACCAAGCAGCAGAAGGTGCCCCTGTCCAGTGCAGCATCCTGGGAGCACATTAAGGCTGTGCGGAAAGCTGTGGCCATCACTGTGTTTGCCAGTGGGAACATCCAGAGCCTACAGGATGTGTAGCGCTGCATCCAGGACACGGGTGTACAGAGTGTCATGAGTGCAGAAGGCAACCTGCACAACCCTGCCCTGTTTGAGGGCCGGAGCCCTGCCGTGTGGGAGCTGGCCGAGGATTACCTGGATATCGTGCGGGAGCACCCCTGCCCGCTGTCCTACGTCCAGGCCCATCTCTTCAAGCTGTGGCACCACACGCTGCGGGTGCATCAGCAGCTGCGAGAGGAGCTGGCCAAGGTGAAGACCCTGGAGGGCATTGCCGCCGTGAGCCAGGAGCTGAGGATGCGGTGGCAGGAGATATCCAGGCCGGAGGGAGCGAAGCCCACTGGCGATTTGCCGTTCCACTGGATCTGCCACCCCTATGTCCAGCTGGCGCCCAGGGAGGGGAGCAAGGAGAAGGCAGGTGCGCGCAGCAAGCAGGCCCTGGAGGAGAAGGAGTGTGGCACGGAAGTCCTGTCCAAGAATAAGCAGAAGAAGCAGGTGAGGAACCCCCCACGAGACCTTCGACCTCTCTCTGAAGCCAAAATATGCAAAGTGTGATCAGTGTGGCAACCCAAAGGACAACAGATGTGTGTTTAGCCTGTGCCGCGGCTGCTGCAAGAGGCGAGCCTCCAAAGAGACCGCGGACTGCCTGGGTTACGGATCGCTTTTTAAAACCAAATTGGAGAAGTCTTTGGCCAGGAAAGAGACCCAGCCTGAGCTGCAGGAGCCTCAGACGGCCACGCCTGGCACACCAGGTGGCTTCTCAGAAGTCATGAGTAGTGCTCTGGCGTGAAGGCCCAGAAACCCCACCCCCAGGAGCACTCCTGGAGCCTGGACACGTCGTACTTAAGGAAACATCTTTTCCTCAGGGAATCTCCCCTTACTGAACATGGAAAGACGCGACCTGTCCCCCTTGGCCCGCTCTGGGGGCCTGGAATGCTGCAGTGGGGAGCAGGCCCCAGGCTGGACCTGCCCGTCAGCATGCGTGTGCAAAAGCTAACAATAAATCGTTTCAAAGATGCCAAAAAAAAAAAAAAAAAAGAAAGGAAAGGAATGAAGTACTAATGTATGCTACAACACTGATGAACCACCGAAGCATTATGCTAAGTAAAAGAAGACATATACAAAAGGTCACATATCACGTGTTTCTGTTTATATGAAATATCCCAAATAGGCAAATCCATAGAGACAGGAAGTAAATTGGTGGTTGCCAGGGGCTGAGGAAATAAAGAATGTGAAGTGACTACTTAATAGGTAGAGGGTTTCCTTTTGGGGTGATGAATAAGTTCTGAATCTAGATCGTAGTCATGTTTGCACAATATTGTGAATATCTTAAATGCCATTTAATTGTACATTTGAAATGATTAAAAGAGAAATTTTTATGTTATATGTATTTTACCACAATAAAAATATATTTGGATCAAAGAAGAGTGCCCTTTAATTATAAGAAATAAGGTGGATTTTTTTTCTGTTGCTCATAAATTGACCCTTAAGGTCATTGGGAAGGAGAAATGTCAAAAGAGGTTTATTGCAATAGCAGCATGAGTGATCTCTAGTTGCAGCCTCATACAGTTTAGTTCCTTTATGGACATTATTCACTTGAATG